AAGTGAATCCAAAATATTCAGATGTCCCGCTGTATCAGGAGGTCTTGTCAAATCACGCTCGTAATGAGTGGAGCAAAAACAAGCACAACAAACTCCTGCCGTATTTTTGATCTTGCACTGTGCCTCGCATTTAGTAGTATCTGGAGCGTAACGGTGTGCCGGCTTCTAAATAAAAATGTGGTGAAGTTTTCCTAAACGGGGACGTAGCTGACCTGCAGAATTCTGCAGGAAGGGAAATGGTTGGGTACAGAAGGACTTCACAAGTTCAGGGGAAGCTCAACGTCAGAAATAGGGAGGTAATATGATTTAGAGTGGGATTCAGTTTAAATTAAAAAAGTGGATCTCCCTGGTTTCGACCTACCTTTTCCTATGGTGTATATATCATCCTATAAAGGTCCCAGTCCATTTACAAAATATTGCAGCTAAATGGTAACATTTGCTTACTAAATATTTGCTGGCTGCCTTTCTGCTCCTCCCTCCTTTGTTTAAAATGCTTTTGCTTGGGAATAGCAGAGACTGCGCAGAAAAAAGAAAGTTTGGAGTAAGCACCGGAGGTGAAATGGTTAATTAGAAGTGGAAAGGCGAGGGAGCCAGGGTGCCGATACCCCGATACCCCGGCGCGGGGACGGTTGTGGGGTGACTTTGGCTGTGTCTGGGTGACACGTCGCCCCTGGGGAGGAGGAACCAGCCCGGCCTTGCATTGGCGGAGGCTCTGTTTCCCAACGCGGCCGCGCTGTCTGCCGGTACGGGAGGAAGAGCTGGGGAGGAGGAAGGGCTGGAGAGCCAGAGAAACATGCCGAGCAGCCATGCCAAGAGCCCAGGGACATTTCAGCTGCTTGATTATAGAGGTGCTTTGATCTACAGTGAATAAACCGATAATGCTTAAATTATGAATTCCTTTTCTTTGTCTGAAAAGCTGGATTAGCGTGGCTTTGTTCGAGCAGTGATTATTGAGCAACTTTTTTCTTCTGAAAGGGCAGCTAGATTCCTGTTTACAGCCGGGTGCCGCGATGATCGTGCTGTGCTGGCGGAGGGGCTCGGTGACATAACCGCTCTCGCACGTCCTCGTCTCCTCTGCTTGAACTGTAAACCCTCCGAAAATACGGCCTTGGCCGCCTTTGTTACAGTACGGAGCTAATGATTAATCGGTGTGAGCTGCAGACGGGAAGAGGCACTAAACCGCCTTGTTTGTGTGAGGGTCTGCGGACTGGGAGCCGAGCGAACGAGCCTCTTTGTTTTCTGCTGGGTCTGCCAGCGGTTGTGAAACGCAGCCTTCTTGGATAGGGCTGACGCGCAGGTATAAAGATAGGAGGCGAAGGTTGAGAGGAGCCGCTCTGCGAGCGTTACCAAAGGTCGTGGCGATGCCTCCCCTTGCCTTTTGTCCCCTCTTCCCAGCCCTCGGCATCCGGACAAAGGTCGCTCCTCCGAGTGCGTTCGCCTCCATCTTGCCTCAACGTGCGATCCGCGTAACGAAACGCAGCATTATCGCCGCCTCTCCTCCCCCGGCCCTCCAGCCCCCAAAAAGTTTTTTTGGGTTTTTTTTTTTTTTTTTTTTTTTTTTTTTTTTTTTATCCCTGTAACATATTATTCTGCTGCAGTAAACCCGTCTGGTGATGCAGCACTGCGGATCTCCCCTCCTCTCCCCTCGATGCGGTCCTCCTCCCCGGCAGCATCTGCCAAGACGGGAGCAGCTCGGAGAGACGCCAACGGGTGGGGCTGGGTCGGATCACCAGACAGATTAATCTTCACGGTGGGGGACCGAAGGATGTGTGTAATCACAGGACCACGTTGGGGCACGGAAAATGCAAACCTTCCTCTCCCAGCAGCTGTCCTTGAATACTCAGGGCTCTCTCCTTCTCGGTTTTCTTTCACCCTCCCCTCCCCAACCCTCCTTCTGCTCCCTTTCTCCTCCCCCCCGTCTGCCTCCCTCGCTTTCAGCAAAGACGATTGTCACAGATTATCCTCGGGGCTCGTCAAGGGTACGGTGCAGGACACCAAAGCGCAGCGTATATTTAGGTATCTGGATAACGGATGGATTAAAAGGTGCCGTCTCCAAGTGGGGTGATTTAGGACCGTGGCTGCAGTGGAATACAGTAGTAGCCTCCCCCATCCATTCTGGTTTAGAAAAAAAAAAAAAAAAAAATTATGGCAACCAAAGTGCACTTTTCCCAATATAAAAAAAATTAAGCTCTGGCAGCAAGAGTTGTGCATTTGCTGGGTGATTTTGTTGGTCCATGGGGAGCATATTACATTGATGTTCTGTATCTTCTGTGCTTTCTGGGCAGCATTAGCTTGAATATTTGAACATTTTAACACATTCTGGATCTTCGGCAGCAAAAGAAAAATAATTGAGGTCTGTGCGTACCAAAGTGCACTTTTCCCAATATAAAAAAAATTAAGCTCTGGCAGCAAGAGTTGTGCATTTGCTGGGTGATTTTGTTGGTCCATGGGGAGCATATTACATTGATGTTCTGTATCTTCTGTGCTTTCTGGGCAGCATTAGCTTGAATATTTGAACATTTTAACACATTCTGGATCTTCGGCAGCAAAAGAAAAATAATTGAGGTCTGTGCGTATGTGTTAACGTGTACATGTTACGATTTCAGAATGAGGAAATAAAGAATTGCCAGGATGGTGAGTGGGAAGAGGCTTTCAGAGCCCATTTCTGATGTAACTGGCAGGCGGCACTTCATACGCAGTAGGCTGTGGTGACTGCAGTCAGAAAGAAGGTCAATTGGGATTTTAGGGTTTTTGAGTAGAGCTACGATACTACCCACCCCCTCCCCCCCGAAGATTGTAGACAAAGTATGGGCTTGTGTTGCCAGAAACCAAATGTGTAAACAGTGAGCAAAAGGAAAGAACATGTTCTAACCAGTCGCTTCTGTAACTACATTATTTAGAAGAAAAACTCAATGGATATTGGAGTTAGAGCACTCTATCCTACTACAACATCTCTTCTTTGCTGTCTGTAGAGAACCAGCGCTGAAACACGTGTTAAAGGGTGATGCTAACTAGGATACCTAATTATCTTTCGTATTTTTTGTCACGTTCATTCATGGCATGAACATTTTTTCAAATAGGCTCTTTCCTGTTTTCCTCCCCCTTTCTTCCTTTCCTGTTTCTTCTCTCTTTACATGAGCTGCCTCCAATTAGGCCATTTTTTTTCCTCACACAAATTTTATTAACCATATCCTCTGCTTCTCTGGTCTTTCTGAATCGTGCCTTCAAGGCGAGATAACCATATCCAGCTTCAGAAGAGTGCAGACTTCAAGGGGTATCTTTCCTGCGATACCATTCACCATTATTTGCTCCTTGCAGCTTTTAATTGGAATAAAAAACAACCAGTGCATCAGTTTGGTATCCCAGGTTAGGAAACTGCGGAGAATTAAATGTCACCGTGCTGTACGCAGGAGCACAGAGGCAGCAAGCTCTGCTCTCGACAGCTTAGAGGCAAGAATGCGCTCCATTGGCGACCTTGCCTTTTTATGCCTAAGAAGGCGCTTTTTGGCTTGAAAGATGCTCTTGTTTGCGTGCGTATTCCTTAATGGGTAGCGCGCTGTAGTCGGTTGAGTATAAACCAGAGAAAAATGAGATCTAAATCCAAACCAGATTATATATAAAGTATAGTAGGTCAGGCTGGAATGAGAAGCTGGCAGGCAGCGAGGCAGGTTTTCAAATCGTATTTAAGGATTAGTCATCCAACAACAATGATGAAATTTTAAGGTGTATGGAAAGCCATGCATAAACCCGAGGCAGGTGCGGGTTCCGACAGCATTTGCTCCTCGGACAGGCAGTTGTGTTAGCTGAGTCCTGTGCGTGTAGCCGAAAATGGCTTTTCTTGTTTAAGATCTGTTTACATCTGTTCAGCATTGTGCTGCCTTTGGGAACAGAAAATTTTTTTCGCAAAAATTCTTCATAGCGTTTATAAATATTTCTTGATTAGTTTTTTATTTGTGTGTCCCTTTCCTGTTTGTCATTGAATTCAAAAATACACTTTTTTGCCTTTTTTTTGTCATGGATTAACAGCTGGAGTTAAAGCCCTTACCTGTTACACGCAAGATCTCTTGGCCGAGATAAATGAGCAGCCCAGATGTGACCTGCAGCTTGCGGCTGTTTTAAAATGTTGCTGCGCTCTTAACTTCCCATTTTATCCTTTCGTGCTATGAGCTGATGCGAGTTATTTGAAAACATTTTTTACATCATGCTTTCTGTGTGCACAAACATGTTTGTGTTTATTTTTTTTTTTTTTTCCAGACCTTGGCTCATCCGTAAGTGCCTGTGTTGCAATGACTTAACATAGATAAGCAGGGTGGCGTCACGCTCCCGTCAGCTTTCCTCAGTGTGCCCATTGCCCTCAGCGTGCCCATTGCGCAGTGTGGTCCACGCCGGGGGGGGGAGTAAAGTTAAACCCCGGGAGCACCCCGCTCCGGGGGTGCCCGTGTCGCCACGCTTTGGAAGTGTCCCGCGAGGCCGTTGTAAATTAACGGGTTTGAGATCAGGAATGAGGATCAGAATGAAGACTCTTGTTCTTTCGCTGAATGGATTAAATATAGATCGGAGTAGTGGAATTGCTGTGTCAAGGTCATTTTTTCTTAAGAAAATTGTCGGGTTGTCTTTATTTTTACTTGTGACACAGTTTTGTTTTAATTATGTCTTGTTCATCAGATTAAAAATGAGACGGGCTGCTCTAATTGCGAATACCTTCTATTTCTTCAGTACAGCTGCTGCTGTGTTATTATAAACAGGGCGATCTCATGGTAGACTAACCAAAAGAGAGGAGTTTTGAAAATAGTGATGGAAAGTCTGACTGGCTTTTCCCCTCTGTCTGAAAACGCGTTTTCCAACCTCTGCCGTGCTCCAAGATTGGTTTTCCCGCCGTATGGGAAGGGCGAATGGTTTAGAACTGCTGTTGATTTTGTGGGAGGCAATGTTGTGAAATGCAGTCTTTTTCTACCAGCGCTAATATTCGTGCTCTGCTTTGCTTTTCTTCCAGATATGGACGTGTCGAAAGTGTCAAAATACTCCCTAAGAGGGGGTCAGAAGGCGGAGTGGCAGCGTTTGTGGATTTTGTGGACATCAAAAGTGCGCAGAAGGCACACAACTCTGTCAACAAAATGGGAGATAGAGACCTACGGACGGATTATAATGAACCAGGAACCATTCCCAGTGCTGCTCGGGGCTTGGATGATACAGTTTCCATAGCATCTCGTAGTAGAGAGGTTTCTGGGTTCAGAGGAGGTGGTGGGGGGCCCACTTACGGCCCCCCACCATCGCTTCATGCACGGGAAGGACGTTATGAGCGGAGACTTGATGGGTAAGTTCCAAGGTTTCTCTAGGCAGGTATTTTGTATTTGATATGGTGAGAAACACAAACTCGTATCTAGGGCCCCCAGATGGATTTAAAATTTTGGGAATTATCTATGTTTCCTATTTTGGGTTGGAAACGGAAGTGATTTCTATCCCAGTGGCTGGTACCTTGTGGATCCATAGAGGATGTTTTCTGCAGCTGGTTGGATATCTACACTTGAAATAAGGTGGTTTTAAGATGGAAGATTTCCTTTGGCCAGCATCGATATTGGAGTTACTCTTTTCTAGAAGTAATGATTCCATTTCTTGGATAATATTAAGGCCTTGCTCGGATGTATCCCTGCTGCCAGATGGAGCTATCTTACTCTACAACATGTGGTGAAGTTCTCTGTGGAGTATCTTCGGAATACTAGAACCTAAAATTCTGTGAAAGCTTGATGCCTAGTTCTCAGTTCTCACTGTACGCAGTTGGTATGTTAATTGGATTGTCACCACAAAATTTCTAGTAGACTTTAATGATGCAGCCCCTTGGATTCTACAGACAACTCTTAGCCATGGAAATAACGCTTGGATGGAGAAGACCGAAGGCAGCTTGTGATGTTTCCATTTTGGATCTACATCATTTCCAAGTTATTGGGATTATGCTTTCTGATGGTATTGGCAAAAAGAGATGATGGACATGACTAAATTTTGGAAATTATAGTGGTTTTTTTTTTAATGCTGGGATAAGAACTACTGCCTTGAATTTATTGGATGGTATACAGTCAAGACGCCAGTAGCCATGGGGAGTGGATTACTATCTAGCCTCTTAAAAAGCTCTTTGCTGCTCCACATTAAACATACTTTAGTTTTAAGGACGTGGCGCTAATACCAGTTTGTGGATACGCCAGTGAGAAATGACTGGGCTGGATGGTTACAAAGGCGGCTAGAGGATGCCTGCTGGCCAGCAGCGATGAGTGCCCTCGTGCATTGGGTGATCTTCTACCAGCTGCTTGATTCAGACATAGGGCTGGAAATTAAAATAACGGATCTATTTAAGTGCCTACTGTCTCAAGAAAGAAGTCTGGGGGTTTCAGAGTTATGGTTTCAGTCTGGGACTGCTTCCTTCCAGTGGAATTTTTTTTTGTCTTGTCACTAAGATTTTTTTTTTCTTGTTGGTTCATCTAAAATATCATTTGACACCCTTGCCCATTAAGAAGGTGGATTACCCCTGTAAGAGGGGCCAAAATTGGGGAAGTTATGTTCACAATTCTCTCCCTAGATTTAATTGGGAATATAGGTCGTGTTTCCACACTTGGAAAAGGTTGGTATGTCCTGCCCTGTGTATATTAGCCCCTCTCCTAACCCAAGTCAAACCCTCTCTTTCCACTAACTCCAGTAGTACTTAGTACTAATAGATAAATCAAAAAAGCACTGTAGCCATTAGATTTTCAGCTCTGCTAGCTCCTCTGTCTGTCTTCTGTGTCCTTTTCACGGATAAGGACTTTGTTCTTTTATGTCAGCTATATAGCAGTAACCCTCTAGAAAATACTGCTTTTTCTCTTACCTCATTAAATCAGCTTTCACTGATTAACATTTTGTAGGATGCTAAATGCAATCGTTTATAAAATTGTTGATCTCGGTCCTTCAAAAGGGGTTGGGGGGGAAATAGAGAGAGACATGTTTCTGTGCCAGATCCTGAAATATCTTTCATAATGCCATTGTTGCGAGCAAGAAATAATGAAAATAGAAAGGCAACAATGAATTTCAAGCGGATATATATAAGCTAATGAAATTCTGTTGCACTGGTTGGGTAGTTTCTTACATACAATGCGAGAGAAAAAATGCAGGCAAAACCATGAGCTTAGCTCCGTAGAAACCTTGAAAATGAGTTCTAATTTAACAACAGAGGTTGAATGTATTTGGAGGATTAAGGATCTAGTGATTCATTGGAGAAGGAATGGAAGGAACTTCCTGAGATGCTAATTGAAAAAGATTCAAATCCCATTTTCAGTTTATAAAAGATACCTGAAATATTTCTGCCATTTTAAATACAAGACAGACCTGTGATGCAGGAGAGGAGGAGGGAGCACAACGCAGAATTGGGTTATTAGGATTCAGGGGATTGAAGTGACTAATAATTGATTCTGAAGGAAGAATCTGAGAGAGAAGGAAAAAAAAAAAAAAAGGTTGAGATGTCCTTCATAAGATGGATAATTAAATTTTTAAATTAACTTTGGCTACCCTGACATATTTAGAATTTGGCAAGTATTTTTTAAACATTCAACGTAATCATTCTTGATCTTTCATTTTGCGGACGTAACTTAGACATACCGTCCTGGTACTTGTCTAAATTAGACTACTAAACTATTTGTAATGTTCTTTTAACTTTACCTGTCGGTTTTACTATCTCTTTATTTGAGAGATCACACTAACTGTCTTAGAACATAGAGCCTTTCTCAATTGACATTAAAAATGTTGGAAATACTGAAACAAAACGGCCCTTAGCGACGTGAAAGTAGTGTGCTTGTGAAGGTCTAAATCCTGTGATTGCAGTAACAATAGCAGTCTCAACAAACCAAAACACCTACTGAAAAATTTAATTTGTACTCCTCATGTAGGGTCTTTTGGGGGCCTGCACCCTTACAGCTTAACTATTCTGACATTCGTAATCAAGATGTTTCTTTAGCGTATGCAGCTTTGATGAGAATCGAGTGTAGCAAGTCAGATAAAAGCAAAATTCCCTCTAAGAGGTTGAAACATTTTAGAACAGCAACAAGAAAACCCCTAATTTTCCGGGTCTTCTCTATGGGTTATGCTACCCCTTTTGAAAGCAGCTTCTTACCTTTGGGTCATGCTTTGCACGGAGGCTTTCATGGCTACAGCCCAATTTGCGATGCCATTTTTGCAAAAGGATAATTAGAAGAGCTCCAGTAATTACCAAATTCCAGAAAAATTTTTGAAGCTCTTAAGCAAAAATGGAGGGGGGGATGGGGAAGTTAATTATGATGTCCACAAACGTGAATTTTTTCTTGTTTACAGAATTTAAAAGAAAAAGAAAAAAAAAAACAACCACAAATGAGGATTCTGCACTGGAAAGCAGTATTTTTTTTCCTGTGCAGGCAAGATGCTGGTCATGAAAGCCTGATATTGTGATTAAAACCAAAATGATTGCTCAGCTTTATTGTATACAAATATAATTTTGGAGTCAAGTAAAACGTTCTAAAGTTTGTCAGTGTTTGCTTGATAGGTTCTTGCTGTTTAGTGGAGAAGCAGTTGCAAAAATAAGTTCAGCGCTGACGTGAATGTTTGCATGATTTGCTTTTAGTTGTGCTTGCCCCTTTCTGATGAAGTATTTTTCCCCCTTCCTAAATGCAGGGCTTCAGATAACAGGGAGCGTGCTTATGAACATAGTGCCTATGGACACCATGAGCGGGGGACGGGAGGATTTGATCGGACGAGACATTACGATCAGGATTACTATAGAGATCCTCGAGAGCGGACTTTACAACACGGGCTCTATTATACTTCTCGGAGTCGAAGTCCAAACCGTTTTGATGCTCACGACCCCCGTTACGAACCTAGGGCCCGGGAGCAGTTTACATTGCCCAGTGTGGTACACAGGGATATCTACAGGGATGATATTACACGGGAGGTACGAGGCAGAAGGCCAGAGAGGAATTACCAGCACAGCAGGAGTCGGTCGCCGCATTCGTCCCAGTCCAGGACCCAGTCGCCGCAGAGGCTGGCCAGCCAGGCGTCCAGACCCACCCGCTCCCCCAGCGGCAGCGGATCCAGGAGCAGATCTTCCAGCAGCGACTCCATCAGCAGCAGCAGCAGTACCAGCAGCGACAGGTAGGTCACTGCCGGTTGTTTCTCGACCCAAAGCGCCCGTCTTGTGGGTTTTGCGGGTCGTCTTCCGAGGAGTTGCGAGCCCGGGCTGTGAAAATAGAAGGTGTTTCGTGGAAAAGCGTTACTCGCTGATGTAGAAGTAAACCGGCGTGAAATGTATAAAGGGCTAAGTTGGCGGGAGGCAGATCCGAGGGGAATGCTGTTGCCGTCGTTAATTATTTTCCATGGTGGATCTGCCCAGCATCCATAAGGTGCTCGCTAGGCAAAGCGGGGATGTACGGACACGAGGCCTCGCCACGCTCCTGGCTGTCGCCTGCGTCCTTGGAGAATGGGGTAGATGTTTTATTGGCTTCGGTGAGGGAATAAGCAAGTTTGAAGGTCGACTGCTTTTTACAGGACATCTTTGAAAATACTTTGGGAAGTGATGAGTGTTCTTGTTCAGTTTCCTCTCATTCTCTACCACTACTAATATTTAGAAGGTTGATATGTTGCCTTTCCATTCTTTCCCCCTGTTGCCTCACAGCAAAAATCGTAGGCTTGAAAAAAATAATAAAAACCCCAACAAATTCAAGTACGTGTTTCCCAGTGTTACAGCCATGTCTTCAGTTCTGTAACAGCCGCGATAATTCTGTATTTGTGTGGCTTTATACACTACATGCAGGAAAAAATAAGACTACTGGAGCTAGTAATGGGGTTTCTTATGGTAATTTGAAAATTCCTGTTGAAATGCTTCTCGGATATTTAGTTTTTTAAGAATAAATTCATCCTAAGAGTGGAAACCAGGAAGCTGCCGTTGTACCCGTGCATGTTCTGTGCTCTGTCTGGTGAGAAGCTCTGCTCTTCAGAAGGGTTTCCAGTTGGAAACAGTTCCTTTGTATACCAGTTCTTTTCCAAAACGGAAAATATTCATTAACTAAAGAAATATGTCGGTATAATAACTACTTACTGTTCGATTATCACTGTGAATGGAATTTTACCACTGGTAATTCCCTAATCAAGGTAATGATTCTCATAAAATCTTACCTGCTTGAACATTGGACCCTGTGGAAGGGTTAGCCGGGCTGACGCTGGGGAGCGTGCGCAGAAGGAAAGAATGAGGGAATTAGTTTCTCCTCTTCTGATTTCCCCACCCCACACTCCCGATGTCTAAAGAACTGTGCAAAGATTTATTTACTTGTTTTAATTAATTATTTTTTCCTCCTGGATTTAGAAATCCAGATCCCGTCTTGGCTGGAGAGAGGGGCACCTCTGGAATCTTTGAGATGACTTTTAGGCTGCTTTGAAGGCTTTGTTTGCTTATTTCCACACCTCTCTCTCAATGAGATCTTCACACTTAGATAAAGACAACCCTTTGTCAGAGATTTTCACACTTGCTACAGCTTAAAAAAATGGGTGAGACTTCCAGAGGTCTCCAAAAAAAACCTAGAGGAGATGAATCGAAAGCAGCCCTGGTTACATTTAAGGTTTAAAAAAATGCTGAGAAGGAAAAAAATCTCTCTTCTGGTGCTCCTTTACTTGTTGCAGAATGGATAGAGCGGAGTCTGAGAAACTTGTAATATTTATAAAATGTCATTGTTGGGATGTCGAGACGGGATGAAATACTGCTCTGCATTTGAGAGGGCTAAATATGATCCCGCTGGAACAAAGTTAAAAGATTTAATCAGAAGATAAGCAGCGTCTGCTGTGCCTCAGCATTTCATTTTCTTGGCAATTTCTAGTTGTAGTAATGGAAAACTAGATGATACTCTGGGAGGAATGGGGAATAAACGTTTTTTTTCTTACTAATACAGTAAATTCAAATTCAGTAGACCAAGTAATAGAATCTGGTGGACAATATATTTAGTTTTGAAGGATCAGAAAGGAGTTTTACGTGTTTCCAAGCAATGAGTTGGATACTAATAAACATTTACCCATATCTTTACCTTGTAAAGCAAAGCCCCACCTGGCCTTGAAGTCTTTTGAAGCACAAGTGGACTCTTCCGTTTAATTTTTAACACGCTTTGAATTTAGCAATGTAAATACGTAAGCCCCTCGGACCCTGTGGTGAGCGAAAGTTATCTCACCCCCTTTTTACTGGTGAGGTGCTCCCGCTCACTGTGCGATATATTCAGGTTTTACGCACCCAGACCAGGCAGAAATTTATTTGCCTCTCCGTACCCTGGGTAGTAAACTCCGCCTGTGTCACCCCCGATCGATTTACCAAATCCTGTATCTATTTTTTTCATTTCTGGAGTGGGGTTTATCTGGAATAACTAAGGACGGTTCGTTATTGTCTGAGAAAGAATGACTTCTTGCGATTTCCGTAGTATTTCTCAGGGGTTTTAGCAAACTGGAGATCCTCTTACAGCTTTATTACAAGTGGAAATGGCCAATTTTGTGACGCTGTGAAATTATGAAGGTCTTTATGATGCTGAATTCTTCTGAAATTGCACGTCTTGAAGAGCTTTGTGACTGGAGTCGCGTCCTGTCTGTCTCAGCTGGCAGGGTGGAAGAGGCAGAACAAGTTGTGTTTGGGTAGAGAGGTGGGTCCGTCCCCAGGCTGGCGGGAATGTTTGGGGACAAACGCTGTGGAGCCTGTGAAAACTCGTGGGCGTTAAACACTTGTGGGAATCTTTGTGTATCCTTCAGGTGCTGTGAAACACCAGCAGAAAGGTGGCGAAGGAGAAGTTTGGGTTTCGTTCCTTGTGGTTTTGAGAGAGCCGTGTGAAGTAAATACCATTTTCACTAAAGGGAGATTATTTTCCTGGACAATAACGTGAGGAAAGATGCCCTGCAGATTGCTCAGATTGCTTTTTCTTTTTTTTTTTTTTTTAAAAAAGTCTTTATTTCATAAAGGTTCAGAGTTTGTGCATTGGATCTCAGCTTTGCTTCGCTTTAAATGTATATTCAGAGGCCTTTACAGGGGATTTGTAATGGGAGCTGCCAGGGAGTCATGTAGAAGATAAGACCAAAAAGAACGCGGTAAAAATAAACTGTATTCTCTGAAGCGGAGCTTTATTTGGTGTATTTTGTGGCCTCGCAGAAGTTGCCCGTCGGGCTGAGGTGGGCAGTCACCCAGTGGAGGTGGATGCTTTTGGTGGGAGCCGCTTTCTCAGATGGTGTCACCAGCGCAGACCTGAGGAAGAGTTTGCGTTTTTTGAAGTTGTCTTAACGTGAGATTTCTCATTCCCTCCCGTGTTATGGAAAAGGATCGTTGGGTTGTGTTTGTTTTTAATCACCTTGAAAGAGTAAAAAAAACCTCAGAAACGATATTTGATTTTTCCGCCACCAGAAGCCTTAATTTCTCCATTTTGTTCATTCCAGTGCGCACCACAAATGATATATTAGCAAACATATTTTCTGTACTGTGTCACGGAAGAAGCTGAATATGCATTGAAGCTGTGTGATCCCTTGGGGAAGCGAAGCAGATTTTGTTTGTGCCCTGCCCAACCTACTGAAAAAAAAAATAATAATCCCCCCCTCCCCCCGTTTTTTTGTAGAAAATGATCTTTTCGAGGTGTTCTAATGCGCTAAAAAAAAAATTTCTCTGCATTTTTATTCGGTTATGTAACGTCAAATGGCTTTACACATTTCTTACTGTTCCATGTGTTAGTGATTATTTTTAAAGCTTTGCTGCAGCGATGTACTGAGCCACATGGTGCTGAGCAGTGGGACCTTTCGCTCTTAAAAGCTGGGCACGTGGCAGAGCGCCTTGTGGAAAAGGGATTTTTATTTACAAATTCCTGGCAGAAGTGTTTGATTTCCTATAGGTGATGTCCAGAATGTGAAAGTGCGAACACCGCCTGTGTACGTGTGGAAGTTTACAGATAACGTGACCTGAGATTTCCTTTCGCCTTCTTTTCTAATTTATTTTTTTAAGAGTGCTTATTCGGTTGTCTGTTGTCGAGGATGTTGGAGGATTTACTAGTTAGATGAATAATTTCCTATGGCTTGTAATGTAAAAGAGATCTTGCTCTGGCATTAAAAAAGCAACTTCGGCTTAGAGGCAAAGGGACTTTATTTTCACTGAGATCTAGGAGAGCACAGTCATTCCAGTACTGCTGCAATAAAGCAGTGGTAAGAAGTTGCACATATAGATGTTTGAAAAATTGATTTTTTTTTTTTCCAAAAGTTCCGATAGTTAAAGTTCTAAAGAGCAGTGGGCAAGGCTTTCATAAAGTAATTAGGGATTGTTTTTTCATTTTAGATTTCTCTGTGATGAAACGCTTTCTGGAGCAATGAGTTACAGTTGGAAAGGAATACGTATGTGTTATTTTATGTGTCTTAATATTGAAATAAACTGATGAAAAATACTGCCAAGAGAATTTTAATGATGGGAAAAACAGGCTCCCTGAAACCTCCTGTGGAGGCTGCAGCGTATTTTGTTTTGCTGGGGACTTTCTTACCCTGGTTGAACAACTGAAGTGAAAGTAGAAAAAAGTGAATTTTGTTTCATTACATAATGCAAACCTTTCCCTGCCATTGTCTTCATCTCCTCTTTTCCGCTTAGTTTGTCTGCCAGCAAGTGATGAATCACTGACTTAGAATGGGATTTAGGGTTTTTGAGTGGGTTGAGAGATGCCTCTGCTGGGGACAGCTGAAAAATCAGGAAGAATGAGGTTAAATGCAGCTGTTTGGTCTTTATTGAAGAATCTGGGAGATGGCCTTTGCCGATGTTTAATAATCCCACATAAATTTCGCACTGCAGAGATCACCTGAATGTTTTTAATTGCTCTTTCTGTGGGATCACAGGCTTCAGGGTTGAGCACGCTCCTATTTGTATGGGAAAAAGAATTAACCTAAGATTTAAAAAAAAAAAAATTAAAAAAAATTTGCGTAGAGTAGGAAGCAGCCTTTTCACTTACCACAAAGGCAACAGTAAATCCTGTAAGAGCCAGGTGAAACACCTAATCTTTACCTTTTGTTCACATAAAGCCATGTGCTGCTTTGATGTTCTTTCTGCGCAGGGAAATGTGAATTAGGGAAAGGAAAATTTAAAAAAAAAAAAAAAATCCAACTCAGAT